TGGGTGGATGGATAGGTGTGTGGGTGAGTAGATGGGTGGGTGAGTGGATGGACGGGTGTGTGTGTGGGTGAATGTGTGGATGGATGGGTGGGTGGATGATAGGTGTATGGGTGGGCCGATGGATGGGTGGGTGAGTGGATGGAGGGGTGTGTGTGTGGGTGAATGTGTGGATGGATGGGTGGGTGAATATGTGGGTGTGTGGATGGGTAGATGGATGGATGGAGGGATGGATGGAGGGATGGAAAAGTGGAAGGGGGATAGTAGAGGCATAGGCAGACGGAGGGGTGACTGATGGCAGGGCAAGCTGGACCTGCTCCTCCTTCAGGACCCTCAATCCCTATGGCTGCTTTGCTCCCTCAGACTCCCAGGGCCCCTCCTCCAAGCTTTCTCTGGAGTCCAATCAGTAAGAGGGTGGGGGTGGCCCCCCCACCACCGTGTGTGTGTGTGTGTGTGTGTGTGTGTGTGTGTGTGCACGCGCACGCGTGTCCATGTCCGTGTGTGTCCCCGTCCCACAAAGGCAGTTCTACAGCCCCAGCTCTTCTTGCTGCCTTCTGCAGGAAGGGCATTGTCAAGCTCAATATCTACTTCCAAGAATTCAACTACCGCACTATAGAGGAATCAGCAGCCAATAATGTGAGTCGGTGAAGCTCCAATCCTGCCCCGCTGCCCTGGTCCTGGGGACAGGAATTAGGTCCCCAAGGCAGGGCCAGATTAATTCTCTGGGCTGAGATGGTCACATCTCCCCCTTCCCACCCCCAGCCCATGGCGGTGACCCCCAGGGCCAGGCTAGAGGCAGCAAATTGTGCCAGTCTAACCCTGGCCAGGGTCTTAGCTCCCCATTCCCCACAGATGGTCTGGCTACTCTCGAATCTGGGCGGCCAGTTTGGCTTCTGGATGGGGGGCTCGGTGCTGTGCCTCATCGAGTTTGGGGAGATCATCATCGACTTCCTGTGGATCACCATCATCAAGCTGGTGGCCTTTTCCAAGGGCCTGCGGCAGAGGCGTGCCCAGGCTCCCTACACGGGCCCGCCACCCACCGTGGCCGAGCTGGTGGAGGCCCACACCAACTTCGGCTTCCAGCCAGACGCCACACACCCCAGCCCGCACGCAGAGGCCTACCCTGAGCAGCATGCTCCACCCATCCCAGGCACCCCACCCCCCAACTACGACTCTCTGCGTCTGCAGCCGCTGGACACCATTGAGTCAGACAGTGAAGGCGATGTCATCTAAGCTCATTTTTGCCCAGCCCAGACAGCTCAGGGCCCTGAAGCTGAGACGCAGAGACCATGGCCAAGGCCTCATTCTATGATTCCTCCTCCAAAGAGCCAGGGCCGTTGGTGTCCAGGATCAAAGCCCGTGTCCCTCTACTGAGAGGCCGGCAGCAGCCAGCCATTCCCAGGCCAGCGCCTCTGCAGGTCACAGTACTGCAGGGGATGTGGGACTTGGGTGCTCACCTGCTCCTGCCCACCGCCTGTCCTGCCTGCTGGCCTGGGACACCTATCCAGGCTCCAGACCCCAGTGGCCAGCTGATTCCCTGCCAGTACCGGGCACACAGCACAGTCTGTCCCCTCATGTGGCTTGCCTGGCCTCTAGGGACACGGAGAGTGAAGGCACCGGGTGGGGCCTGTGGGGGACACGTGCTTTGTTCTGGAAAATAAATGTAGAAAATGCGGTGTGGAGCCTTGTTCTTTGTCAGACCAGGTGGCCACGTAGCCTGACCTAAGTCCACGCTGGACAGATGCTCGTGCTGGCTTTACGGCAGTGGTCTCGCAGGCAGGCCGAGGGGCAGATCTCTCTTGTGAGTGTTACAGGAGCCTTCAAGCTGCTGCTTTGCTGGGTTTTGTTTTTTTGAACCAGGGATTGAACTCAGGCCCTTGCGCTTGCCACTTACTCTACGGAACCATCTCCCAGCCCTCAAGCTGCTTCTGAAGTGGGAGCCCAAGGGTTTCTCGGCGCAGCCCAGCCTGCTTCTTTGGGTTGCAAGGTCAGAGACTCAAAAGCGGTATAAGCAAAACAATCTCAAAGAGCTCAAATGATTCAGCCTGTCTGCCACTGCCAGGTCCCAGGCTGACACTCAGTGGTCCCCAACAGGGTCACATGCCCTTCTCTGCACTAATCAGCAGGGCCAGCTGGAGAGGCTGCACCAATTGGTCAGACCTGAATCTGTCTGCTCAAACCTACAGCTCCTTTTGCCCCCAGCAGAATGACCTGAGGCTGGAGGGGACATGGCTGGTAGGGTTGGCAGATAAAATTCAAGCTGTTCAGTTTATTCTCAATTTCAGATAAGAAATCAATATTTTAATACAAATATACCATGCAACATGAGATACACCCTAAGTCATTTACTGTTCCTCCTGAAACTCCAGTTCAACGGAGGGTTTTTTCCTAACCACGGTGAAGCGCTGCGGGCTCCTCAGCAAGTCGCAGGGAGCTGATCTGCGAGACCTGGCGGTGTAGAGAGCTGAGCTGTGCCGCGCCTGCCACTCCTGCGCAGAGCCCCAGTTTTGAAGGAGCTCTGGCTTCCCGTCCTGGCCCGAGGGCCCAGGCCAGCTGCTGCTGAAGATCAGCTGATGTGCTCCGTCCAAAGGCAGACAAGTCGGTCTCCCACTAGGTGTCCATGGTTGGCTCGGCAGGCAGTGACAGAGTTCGTGCCAGTCTGGGCCAAGCAGTGTGGCTGGGGCTGAGAGGGGTTTCCCAACTCTTGGCAGTTACCGCCTTTACTACGACTACTTTTATTGTTCAGTGGTGGGCGCCACACACTCACTACTGCCATTGCACAGCGGCCACTGTGCCGAGTGTGAGCGCTGCCGTGTGCTAGGCTTGTGCCAAGTGCTGTGCAAGTCTTATTCATTCCCTCCCCGCCGTCCAGGGGAGCAGCACCACCCCACTTTATAGGTAAAGTAGGTGCAGGCTTAGAGAGGCGAGGCGGCATGCTCCAGGCCACTGTGCCAGTGGCTGCCACGATTCAAACATCGCCAGAGCTCAGCTTGAAATGTAACCCCCGCTATGTATGTCAATAGTGCTGTGAGGCTGTGTCCTGGGAGGTAACTGGGATTACGGTCAGACGTGCAGGCCCACGAGGGCATCGGCAGCTGGATAAGAGGAAGAGGGGCCCACGCCAGCATGCTCGCTGTGTCTCGCTGTGATGCCCCACACCACATCGTGACACGGCAGAAAGGCCGTCGCCGGCTCCCAGCCTCTCCATCTTGGTCTTGCGGCCTCTAGAGCCTTCAGCCAAATGAATTACAATTTCTGTGGTACTCAGAGCAACAGCAAGCAGACTATGACAGCAGCTAAGCTAGGGCCACAGCCCTTCTCCGTCAGTGCCAATGGCCAAAGCGATACCAGTCTCTTCCAGGAGCCCAGAGCCTTCCCCCTACTGCACGTGAAGCAGGCCATGCCATCCTCATCAGCTCCTTCTGCAGCCCGTGGGCACACGCCAGGGCGAGCCAGACCGTCAGCTCTCGCGGTGAAAGCCCTGGGAGCCCCGCTGAGCTGCACGCAGGCCCCCCCAGGTCAGGCTGAGTTCAGTGGTTCTCTCCAGCACTTTCTCCACGTATCTCTCTACACCCCTCAGCCACAGAGGGAGCAAAGCTTCCAGGGTCCCAGCAAAAGCTCTAGGATAGGCTCACTTGGATCCACCTGGGCAACGCGCTCGCCTTGGATGGTCACTGCCACAGGACCATGTGGTTGAGGGGCCCACTCCAGGGGAATCTGCAGGCACAGCCAACACACACCCGGAAGAGGCTGTGTTCAGAGACACTCCAGAGTTGCCGGTGGAGGGGTGAAGCTGGAAGCGGCTGGCCGTGGACGGTCTGCCATCCTTGCTCTCGGGGAAGAGGAGGGCCAGGGCATGGGAAGCGGTCTCACATCCAGTGCCCAACCCTGAACTGGGCATCCCAGCAGTCCTCTCTTCTGGACCTGGAGGGGAGAGGTAATTCTCTACTTCCTAAAGGGAAGCTGCAGGACTAGGAAGCGAACCGACCGTGAACTCACTGCACGCTGCTGCCTCACTGCACCTCAACAGTCTTCAAAGAACCCTGAGTCAGGTGCTGACTCCTGGGCTCAGATGAGGAAACGTGGCACAAAGTAGAGTGACTTTCTGAGCTCATTCAACTGGGAGGTGGCCCAAGCCCTTTCTCTCCAATGCCCAGTGGTTCTCCCAGCGGTGGCACAAGGGCCACCACAGCAAGTTTCCCCTTCTCAGCAGCACACGTCGCCTTCTGGCTGCCACGTGCTCCAGGCTTGACTCCTACTAGAACCTGACCCACCACACCAGAAACCAAGATACCTTTCCTAGCGTGGAGTTGTAGTGGATTCAAGTCAGGGCACCTGGTGGGGTGTGGCAACGGCACTTCTGAGGGGGCTGAGCAGGTGACTTCTGGGACACAGGTCCTGCTGTGTGCTCCTAGTTGGCCACAAAGAAAGCTGAGGCACTGGGCCGAGTGCAGGTGCCTCAGTCGCCGGGCTCTTTCCAAGTCCCGCTCCTGCCACGTGGTAGCTGAATGACCACAGGAAGCTCCTAAGTCTCTCCTACCAGAGATGAGTCTGTGCTTTCCATGACCGAAGTGGGGTTTTTGTGAGAGTCCAGTGAGGCCCTGGAAGCTTAGGCGTCCTCAGTCCTAACCAACGGCCCCAGCAACAGACGCTCTGTTTACCCCTCAGCTCCCTATGAAGACAAGTTGGGTTCAGGGCAGCCATTAACCCAGCCCAGGCACCAAGTCCTGACTGGCCTAAGGCCATGTTCCCCAGACTCAGGTGCTCTGTCCCTCAGGCAGTGTCTGGAGACAGCCTGGGTTGTCACAGCCAAGCCTGTCCTACTGCTGTCTGGTAGGTGAAAGCCAGACACACTGTGAAGCACCTACAATGCCTCCTTGGCCCAACAGGCCAGGCTGAGGAGCTGGCTGAAGCTGGGCCTGTTCCCCACCTTCCCAGCATCCCTTGCAGCTGAGAGGAACCTTGAGACCAAGAAACAGTGCAGCCTAGAGGAAGGTCAGCAGGGACAGCTGAGACAGCATTGCTGCCTCGCACCGCTCCCAAGCTTGCCCCTGGACACAGGTGCGACAGCTGCAGCTCTGGGAGTAGTCACATGCGCCGACGAGGTCCCAGCACCTGGAGCGTGGGTGCCGCAGAGGCTGGGCGTGCTCCTGACTCTGCCACTAGGCAGTTCCTGGCCCGATCCCCAGTTCACCCTCCAACTTCTCATTCTGGGGAAAAATGACTTATTTGCTTAAGTCACCACACGATACTGTTTTCTGTCACTTGTAAGTCAGGCACAATCTAAACAGAAGATGCTGAGGAAAAAGTGGATACAATGTGCACCACCCGGGGGCTTCTTGTTCTGTCTCACTTGCGCCGCTCTGGGTTAAACCAGGGCCTTCGCATCACGCCACATCCCCAGCACGTGCTTTTATTTTGAGACAGTCTCAGAGTTGGTAAACGGCTCAGACTGGGCTTGAATATGAGGACTTCTTGCTTCAGCCCCCCAGCATGGGGCGTATGCCACCATGCTGCCACTCCACAGATGTCTGAAGTGCAACAGGAGAAGCCCGAAAGCTCAGCATGGCCTGCAAGGCCCCCGTGCTCCGGCCCCACTCCTGCCCTCTGCCGTCCTTGCAGCCTCCATGTGTGCCCCACTGCAGCAGCCCTGCGTGGCTGGGAGGCTCTGCAGGGCCATGACGCACGCGTCACCCTGGACTGGGGCGCCCCTCTCCAGGCAGCACCGTCTTCCACCCCAACACCCTCTTTCTCTCAGCGCTTGCACCAGAATTCTTCTGACAACTCATGCTCACCACCCTCTCCTGTGCCTTTCAGCACAGCCCCATCCCTCTGCAGGCAGGTCCTGGACTCTAGGCAGGCCCTGGGGCTGTGGGCAGATGTGGGCAGCACGCAAACATCCACCAAAGGGAAGGGAGGAGACAGGCTTTTTGCATTTCTGTGTTTAATTCCATCTCAAGGATGAGATCAGGGGGCCCGGGAGATGGCTCAGTGGAATAAGCACTTGCCTGGCAAGCGCAAGGGCCTGAGTTCAATCCCCGGTTCCGTAAAAAAAAAAAGATTAGATCATTTCTAAAAATCACCTGAAAAGTCTTCTAATAAGCAATGGACTTGTTGCTCATAACCTTGCTCTGACTGGACAAAAACCCAAGTCCTTCCGAGCAAACTCTCCACATCGATGTCAGCTGTTGAGCTGCAGCCCACGTTGGGGCCGCCATGGCTGCAGGACACTGGCCCAGCCTCTCTTCTCAGTAGCTCACACCCCGCATAGTCGCCACCGCAGTGGCAAGGCGGCGTGGCAGGCCTTTGCTGAGCTGCCGGTAATCCTCAGGTTTGGCCTTCAAGAGCGTCACGATGCTCTGGAGTGTGCGGGACGGCTGCAGGCCCAGGGCGTCCATCACGTTGATCAGATAGTCTGTAGGTGTGGAGGAAACACACTCAGCAGCGTGCTGGATGAAGCCCCAAAGGGAGCCCCAAGTAGGAAGAGGGCAGCTCTGAACACCCCAAGTCCTGGGCACCCGTTCTTTCCAGGCCTCTGTTGGAGGTCAAGCTGGACCGCAAGCTTGGAATCCCAGAATTCTCACTTAGTAAGGACAGCCAACTCCACCACCCCAGCAGCACATGGCACACATGCACACCTGCCTCTGGCACCCCCCGTGACAGATGCTGGTCTCACCCACAGCTGCATCCGGTGCTGCAGGTGCTCAGCCTGGGGCCTTGTGTCCCTGCACATGCGCAGAACCCAAAGGGCTTGTCGGAATGTCTATCAAAGCCTTCCCATGAGATCCTCTCTATGAGGACAAGGGCAGGAGGCCTGGGGAACCAGTGAAGGGCAGACTTCCACACCAGACCAGGCCAAAGAGAATGTCCATGAGAGGGCTCTGGGGTCTGTCACTCCCAAGGGTGGCCCTCGGAACTGCAGCACCAGCTACTTGGTCAGCACTGCAGAATGGAGGAAAAATGCCCTTGTCCGAGTCTCAGCCCCACCTGCTGATGCAGCTAGAACCCAGCAGCGTGTATGGACAGGGAGACAGGAGACAAAGGACACAAAGGCTCACACTGTTTGAGTTATTGATCCTCCTTCTTGGGCGACACCACCCAGACCTTCGGACTTTCCCAGCTTTTCCTTCACCCCGCTCTGAAGCACTGAAAGGAGGAACTGCCCTTGTCACTTTCTGAGAGCTGCCTGGGCTCATTTCTTCTCCCGGACCACACCAGGGGTCTTCCTGGTGCCTCCTCTGGAGGCTCAGCCCAGGGCCAACCCTGGAGGCTGCAGTGTCCCAGATGGCACACAGCAACTCAGGACGAGCTGATTCCCGGGGAGGAGGCCCTGACAGGCTTCCTCTTAGCCCCGTGAGCTCCACCTGACCCCAAGTGAGAGTGGGAGCACCCACCTGCTCAACCAGGATACTTCTGCTTGGCCAGCAGTGTTTCTGCTCTTCATGTTAACGCATTCGTCAGATGCCTTCCGGGTGAGCGTGCCGACCTCGTCACCCTTCACAGCCACACGCAGGCAGCTTCTCCCCTTAGCCTCACTTCCCAGCCCTGACCCTCTCTCCCTAACAGGGCAGCCTCGCACTGCAGCCAGCACACAGGAGGTGCTCGACCAGGCTGAGTGAGCGAATGATCCAGGGCTTGCGGAGGGGGGCAGGAGTAACCCGCACCGCCGCCCGCTGGGGGCCAGCAGAATCCCACCTCCGCCCTAGCTCCCGCCGCTGCTTTGCCGCTTCAGAGACTCCTCACAGGTGAACTTCCTCGTTTTGCTTCTCTTAACGCTGGGCCCAGGGAAATGGGCAGAAATCGGCTGCCCCCCTGACAACTGCAAAGAGCAGGGCCGGGCAGCCAAGAAAGCAGAGCCTGGCCCCTGGCTAGGCACTCTGGGACCTCAAGCAGTGCCCTAGCTTCTGCCCACCGTGCTGCAGAATGAGGCATGAGCTAGTCCAGTCAGCCCGCTGCCCCCGGGAGAAAACGCCAGCTGGCCTGCAGTGGGTTGGCCTTCAAGGGGGCTCAGGACAAGCAAAACAACAGAAGACGCCAGGAACCTGGAAGTGCCGCTCCCCTGCCAGAGCGGTGAGGACCTGCAGCGGAGCACGGCTGGGTCATGGGGGCAAGGCCGCCGGCCGGAGCCCAGCGTGGCCCTAGCTCTCGGCCATGCTAGGCAAGAGCACCAACCACACAGGACTGCCCAGGTGCAGGCATGAGGGCCGGGCTCAGAGGCAGGACGCCTGCCGCATGGAGACGCCCGACAGACGCCCGAGCCACTGCCGTATCAGGTGCAGAGGGCCAGGGAGAGCCACTGCTCCCTCACTGCGTTCGGTGTGCCCAAGCGCCCAAGGGCCCCAGCCTTTCAGCAGGTCATCGGAATCCCCCTCAGTGTCCAGACGCACCTGAGGTGATTACATCAGAATCTCAGCTGGGGCCCGGAGATGTACATTTTTAACCAGCTTCACAGCCAAACCCAGAATGGCTGGTGACAGGAGGCATGGGGGAACGAGACACCCCCGCCCCACCACCTGCTTGTGGCACCCACCGATATCCGTGGCCAGCTGCCTGGTGGAGTGTGCAGTCAGCTCTGGGATCTGCAGAATCACGTCGCAGTACGTCTGCATGGTGGCTCTGGCGATCGAGCCCAGCCAGTTGTCAGCCATGTTGTCCAGCTCAGGCAGCTCATCGCCTGCAACAGGAAAGGAAGTCACCAAGATCCTGCACAGCCTGACTCACACCAGGGCTGCGTGCACAAACACGCCCAGAGGGAACACGCATGTGCAACCGGCCCTGACAGAGACAAGGGACTCACGTCTGCTGGATGGTGGACTCATACTTGCTAGGAAAAAGCCTCAGTTTCTGCCTACAACTTGTTTTTATTTGGGTACTGAGAATCGAACTCACAACCTTGTGCTTGCCAGGTAGGTGCTGTGCTACTGAGCTAAATCCCCAGCCTCTGCCTGTAATATGGGGAGCAGACCACAGCTGTTGCAGGGAGCCCAAGGCAGCCTCAGCCTAAGCACACGGCGCAGGGTGGCCCTTCCCGCGGGGAGCAGAGGCTACTCCAACCACAGGCGGAGGCGAGTGGAGGCTCCTACAGCTCTGTGAGCGTGGCACCCACCCAGGCAGCTCCTTCCTTCTCAGCCCAGACCTCACTCCTGCTTCTCAGGACCTCACAGCCAGCGGGCTGCAGCACCACAGAGAAGACCAGCACAAGGGCAGTTCTGAGGTTTCTACAAATGACTGAGATACAACCCAGTTTGTGCATGCTGAGTGGCAGGCAGGATAATTCAACTCTAATGAAGTTCAAGTTCTGGGCCAAAGACTTGCAAAGGCTTTAACCCCCATTGTATCCCTTAGAAAAAGCTATTGAACCCAAGTCAAAAATTCCTATTGGCTGTTCACCTATATCTGCAAGGTTAAGATGCTAGAAATTACCAGATGGCATATGAATGGATGTTCACTGTGAAATGCTTTCCAATTTTTTTTTTTTTTTTTTTTTCCAGTACCAGAGATTGAACTCAGGGCCTTGCGCTTGCCAGGCAAGTGCTTATTCTACTGAGCTATCTATCTCCCTGGCCCAAAATTTGAGGAGTCTGGCGCAGCTTCTGGAGCTGGGGATTGAACCACGGTCCTATGCGCCTGACTGCATTAGCCCACGCAGCGCTTTAAACAACTGAGCCAGCCGGCAAAGCCCCTCCAATTTTCTGTATATTACAAATTGTCATAATAAAACATTGAGGCAGGAAAAAGAAAAAACAAATACCCAGATGGGCTGCTGTGAGCTCTGCTGTGTGTGGGACTGCTTCTCAGTTCTGGCTGTGCCCGGTCGCCTTCGCACTGCCCAGCCCAGGCCCGAGCACACAGTGAGCAGTTAGTGAGCTCTGCCAGTGAGCGGGGGTGTGAGTGTGTGAGCACAAGCAGCCACACGCTCCTGGGTCCGTACAGATTTTAGTGGGACCAGAGGACACTATGTTCTTCCTGATATGAGGCAAAAGACAGTATAACAGCATCACGAGCTTCTTGCCATGGAATCTGAGCCAGCATTTAATCATTACCAATAAGTGAAACATAATAAAGCATTTATGGGCAAATAATAAAATATCTGAGATTTGACTTAACTGCTCCAACAAAAAAAGTAAGGGGCATATAAAAACAAGAAGCTATTCCTGAGCTCTAATGAAGTTCAAGTTTCATAGTCATATGTGAAAACTGCCTAATGCTAAAAGCACAGTAAGGAAGGCAGTTGTGGCTCAGAGGTAAATCTGAGATCAGCCTGCACGAGGGCCTGATTTGATCTCTAAAATCTTCCATAAGTAAATAAAACTTAAAAATTACATTAGTGGGACTGGGGAGATAGCTCAGTGATCCAAACGCCTGTATGGCAAGCACAAGAACCGGGGTTCGATCCCCAGCACTGCATGCCACGCTGGCCCTGAACTACGCTGGCCACCGAAACCAGGCAGGGTGGTGCACACCTGTAATCCCAGTGCTGGAGAGGCTGAGACAGGAGGATCACTAGGGTCTGAGCTACATAGCGAGACCCTTTACCAAATGAATCATTAAATAAATGAATAAATTAAAATTAAAATTTAAAATTACATTAATAAATGAAAAAATTACGTTAATAAATGGATGAAATTAAAAATCAGTTATATAACCTCAAAGCCTTTCAATAATGATGATCAACATTTTGGTATACACATGCTTTTTACATATAATAGAAAAATATATTCTTGTGTTTTAAAAAATGCAGACAGAGGCTAACAAGATAGCTCAGCGGTCTAAAGTGGCTGCTTAGGCAAAGCACAGGGACTGTGGTTCAATCCCTGGCACCACATACCATGCCAGTCCTGCCCCCAGGGTGAGCTGAGCCAGCCACAAAAAAGAAAAACAAAAATGCAGACAGTACAGAAACTTAATGAGTGGAAGTAAGTGCCCTTCCTGGCCCCTGGGCAGCCTCATCCCAGGGTGCATGTGCGCATGTGCTCTTCTAAACCCCTTTCCTCTGCTTTATGTGACTATGGAATGCACAAGAGGGGTTTCAAAACATAAACATTACTATGTATTATTTTGCACCCTATTTTCTTAACAATGTTTTTGCAGATCTTACAAGTACAACCCATTCTCCTTTCTTACAAAGAAAACTTATAAATTATAGAGACATCACAAGATGCTTTCTCTTTGTGTGTGGTAGCAGGCACCAACTCGGGACCTTGAGCTTGCTGAGAAGGCACTTAGGCCTGCTGAGCTATCTCCCCAGCCCCATTGCAAGATACTTAACTATTTCCCAAGGAAGAACTATCTGCTTCGGGCTGAGCTGCTTGCCATTGCAAACAATACAGCAAAGAGCCTCCCGGGACCCTCTGTGGAATCTCCAGGGGCCTGTGGGCCAGGGGCTGCTGGGCCCCCCAGGGTGGGCTTACGCTGACTCCTGACAGAAAGGCTTTACCAATTCACTCTCTATCAACAGGCCTTATCATTCTTTTTGCTTCAATCATATGATACTTGTACACATGGCAGAATGCATAAAACAGGTGGCACGTTTAAAGAATAACTCTGAAGCCCACGGCCATGAAACATCTCCTGGAGCAAGAGAAAGGCCCAGGCCTGGTGGCCTCTGCCGCCCCCCCAGCCCGTCCCCACCCACAACCCCCACGCGCTCCCTAACGTTGGCTACGTGGATTCTTCTCGTCTCATTTCCTTTGCTCCCCGAATTGACTGTGAGCTCTATCCACGAGGTCACGCAGCTGCAGGCTGACCCTTTTCCTACCATGTACCACTCACTGCACTGCCGCAGTATAAATATGCACACATCTCACTGCTGGCGGACATCTGGGGCGTTCCCAGAACGGGGTGATCACCGAGCTGCTAGAGACCCTCCAGAGGTGTGTGGGACACACGGGAGAGTCGGGGGTCTGTGTCTCGGAATACAACCCAACAGAACAACGACAGTAAGAGCATCATCGCTTCTTCTAGCAGTGACAAGCTGCTCTCCAGGCGGACATGCCGGCTTACAGCGGTGGGTCAAGGCTTCCAGACGCTTCTTCCTGCATTTATCTCCAAAGGGGTCTTTCGGTTGGAACCACACAACACATGCTACTTCATGCAATCTTCACACTTCACATGCCGTGAACACCTTCCTCTTCTAATGCTTCCACGGCTGCACAGACTTCACTGTGTGGATGTGCCAACGAACTCTACCCACAGCTTCTCATTGTGCAATGGACTGTTCTTACAAATAATGCTGGAGTAAACACTCACACAGCCATGCTTGTACTTACTTTATTAGCATAATGGCCTAACGGAATTCCTGACCTAAGAGGAATGCACCATTAAGGCCCCTGACCTCACGGCAAACAGCAACTGAGAAGTTCAAATTGTACTGTGTAGACTGTTCCCTTCACTGTTACCAATGAGGCAGGAGAATTCAAGACCAGCCTGAACTGCACAGCAAGCGTGTCTCATAAATAAAAAAGGCCTCCCCGCCTTACTCCTAAGATTATATTAATATGCACGCTCTCATTTTAGCTCACGAGTTTCACACTTTAAAGCCTAAACGGTAAATACTTGTCATTTACAAAAGCAGATGTACATCCTTCATGGTGACGATCTTATGAACCTTAAGAAAGTTTTCTCTGTAACATTTTCATCTTTTGTTTTTGGGGATTGTTTTGGTTTTGTTTCTGTTTTTTGACACAGGGTCTCACTAGGTAGCCCAGGCTGGCCTTGAACTCGCTTTGCAGCACCGACTGGGCTTACGCTCACCACAACCCTCCTGCCTCAGCCTCCTGAGTATGGGGTTCACAGGCATCTGTCACCACGCCCAGCTTGTTGGTAACATTTCATGTGACTTGTGGGCATTTGACGACCTCGCCCATTCTCAGTGGGAAGAAGTCGGTGCAGGTTAAGTCAAGTGCACTGGCGTCCTGCTCAGCCTCTCCGTCCCTCTCTGATGAGCGCTCTCTGCTGTTCAGGGCAGGCCAGAGCCCCGGCTCCAAGCAGTCCTCTTTCCTCAGCTTTCTGGGGAGCAGGGACTGCGGACCAAGACGGTACACTCAGCTCAACTTCTTTTTATTTTTGATCTGTTAATGCAAAAAAAAAAAAAAAAAAAGCCTCTCCAAGGTAATGTGGTTCTGGTAAATTCCTGTCCCATTATCTGACAGCTACTTCTTTTATATCAGGCTGCTCTTTGACCCTGAAGGGCGTGTGACAACCGCAGGTTCACTAGGGGACCCATCCTGAGACAACATAAAAGAGCCACTCTGGTCCCGCTTACAGTCTGGCTTGGAGTGACTTCATCTCACAGCAATGCTGTCACCTGCTCTCCTTTCACTTGCATCTACACTAGCCGCCTTCCAGCACATTTGTGCTGGACGCCTCCTGAGGTGAGGCTTTTCTTCAGTGTGGCAACTCTCTGAACTGCTAACCCTGCAGAGTGAGTGATTTTTGTTGCTGTTGTCCAACCGAATGAGGGCTGGGGAGGAACCTGTAATGCCCAGTGTTAAGAATGAAGATCACTCTGACCAGCAAGTACCGTCTGCAGTCCCTGTGGAAATGTGTCTGGCCTAAGCAATTTTAAAAAAGGAAGAATTCAAATTTTTAGGCAACTCTGCCTTACCAATTTAGAGACTGAGCAGTTCCGTGAAGTCAGATGCAAGTGAGGTACCCGGAAAGGAACAGCTGCCTTTATGTCAAAGAGCGGACTGTTGCTGTCGGGAGATGGCATGTCACATGGCACAAGGAGGGTGTGCGCTGGGGTGGGGGCCCTCCCGTGACCTCCTGGTACCATCAGGAGCTGGGCTCTGCAGCCACCGCCTCCCAGCCAGGGCCCGGGGAGCTCCCGCAGGAGCCTCTGCACACCTCCCAGGGTGCTCTGCACTCAGTAAAGCGGGGAGGATCGCCCAGCGCCCGGCAGAACTCTGCCTGCCCACGCACCTCAGAGGGCGCATGCAGCCCAGCCTTCCTCGGGTCCACTTAATACTCTGCCAGTGTGTCGCAGGAAGCCTGGGGAAGGCGCACTGAGGAAAAGGCTGTCAAGAGCCTCGCCGTGGCTTCCGGCGCCCCTGGCCCTTGCCTCTGCTGGCTCTCACCTTGCTCAGGAGGGAATGGCAGCTTTCCTGCGTGTAGGGCCAGCTCTAAGGCAGAGTCCTCCTGAGTCACAAACGGCTCAAGATTCAGGGGCAGGGACATGATGTACTGCCCGATCTGAAACAAAAGAAGGCACTTTTAGCCTGACATGGACACTAGGAGGGACATTCAGAGGAAGGCAACCGGCGGAAAGGCAGAACTGCCAGTCCCACGCACAGCCTGTGTGTGGCAAGGCTGGGGAAGGTGTACAGGGGCATGGTACTACTTTTCAGCAACACCTAAAGGCAGCTTGCATCAGACCTGAGCCGCCTCCTTCTCAGGCTCGGTCTCGGCATTCTGGAAGCCTTCCACACTGCCAGCCCCGCTGAAGTAATGGGCAGCAAAGCTCCCCGTCGGCTTCACAGCTCTGCGTAAACACGAGCTGTGATTACTGCTCACAGGGGACAGCCCAGCAAGGCGGCACTGCCAACACGGACGAGGCTGGCCAGGATTCAAATCCCGTCCTCTGGGTCGGTTCTCTCCCTCTAGATGATTTAACCAAGAGAAGGAAGAAACTTTGAAAGCGCAACTCATGGTTACAAATAAATCTGGAGAGAAAATTAATAAAACTGTTTCGTAATACAAGCTAGAAAATCATAGATGGCCAATAAAAACCCAACCTTGGTTGTGGGAGTCACAAAATACAGACTGGCCTGCAAAGGCAGTATTTGTCACACTCTGTCAGACGGAACTGTAATGGTCACTGTGGGCATACTTAGGTTCAACCATTTCTATTACAACTCATAACTGTTTTGTGTTTTACAGTAAGTATTGCTCTATCTCAAAATAAGTTTGGTTGTGGATTGTAACAACACACTTATCTTTATCTCTGTGCCTCCTGCTATTCTGGCTTGGGCGCTGTTCCATGACTTCACTTAATTCTGCAGGCTGCACGCAGGGTGTCCAGGTCCACCTTTCCCAACCTGGCCTCCCGCACCACCCCACAGCGGCAGGCCCCTTGCAGAGTGTGCTGTCTGATGCCAGCACAGACTGTGGAAGCCACTTGCCTCAAGAGAGCTCGGGGGCAGCACCTTTGTTTCCAAACATGTACCACAGGCTGCCAAGGTAAGCCCTGGTATCGTGCAGTCCATGGTGCTAACGAAAAATTCTTAGTTTGGTCTTCTACCAAAGAGCTTCACAGGTGGTAAAGTAAATGTCATTTTTTCCCTTTTACTGACAATATAATCCTTCAGTGAAGTTAGGCCAGTGGCCCCTTAGCTCACTTACAACTTCATCTGAAACAGCAACACGTTCACATCTTCCCGCAGCCTGGAAGGGGAGAAGCGCCGCTCCTGGCGCGGGAAATTCCGCACTGTATTCCATTCCACTCGACAGACACTTCTTGAGCACCTACTATGCATTCCTGCAAGTGGCACCCTTTCATCTGTAGCTGACATTCTGGCTCACTCCATGGAGCCAGTTTTACTTGAAATAAGCTCCCTCAATCTTAAGCCTGGCACCTACACTGTCTTTCGGTATTCTCCTACTTGGCCCCTTTATGCTGCGCACGAGTCTCGGGTTGGGTGGACACCAGGAGGCCAAAGCTGACATAAAGCTTCAATAACCTGCAGCTCCAATTCAATGAACCGGCCATGGATTGCACGAGCGGCTCCAGGCTTGGCCTGGGAGTTTTGTTGATTTGGATTCTGTGGAAACAGAAGCTAATGGCCACATCTGTAGATATGTTTCCAACAGATAATTCTAGACACCCTATGGGGCAAACTCTCCGACTCAAGAAAAATGAACAGCTTTAGGTTAGAGAGACGGAGGCTGTGTCCCGGCCCTAACACGCGACTGGGGCAGTGCAATCTGTCAGAACCTTGGGCTCTCTGACATAAGGAAGACACCGCTGCAGGGCTGCCACGAGGGTGAAGTTAGTAGCATGGGTGCGCGAAACTGGGACAGCAAACGCACAGCAGGGTCCTTGCAGGAGATCACGCAAGCCTGACACACACCCTGCTCCGGGTCCAGCCCTCAGCCCTCCGTGCTCTTCTGGCTTCAGCTTCTCCAGCCTGAGGATCACTCTCAAGTCCCCTCAAGTCCCCTCCAGCAACATCATTTTCTGAATCTACTGGGACTGTAATGTGTATTTCTGCTCTAAGAATGTGATTCTTGCACTGGTTATAAGAACAGCCCACATCTCAGCAGTCCAGTCCAGGAGAGCAAGCAGTGCCTCAGAACAGGACAGCGGCGGCCACTCTGCTCCGCAGCGTTCCAGAACAGAGCAGAACGCTGCGTGCGTCCTGCCGCCCGCCAGTGGGACCACCGCACGCTCCACACTCCGCAGTGTTTACCCCTACGTTTCTCTGTGTCTATTACAACAGAGTCACAGCTCAGACAAGGGTGGGTTCTCTGGTAAGAGCACCCAGGAGAAATAACCAGGAGCCCCCAATGCACCCCTCTGCTTCTGTGAGCCCGCAGAGCCCCTGAGCTGGGGCGGCTGCAGGAAGGAATGAGAGGAAAGCCCACATGTGGTTCACTGGGGGCCATCCACTCCCGGGGCGAATGGGAAGGAAAGGGCCAAGCACCCCTCTTCCCTGTAGGCTTGCTCTGTTCTCTTTTGACTTTCCTGAAGAGATCTGCACTGCTGCTGTGAGGTTATGCATGAAAGCACTCGGCACAGAGCTGGCACACAGTAGGTGCTCATTAAATGTTTGCTGAACTTGACACATACATGTTGCTCTTTGGAAAAACTATGGAGAAAAATTTGGCTACCTGCTTCTTGATCTTCCACTGAACACTCAACTCTGATACCCTTAGGGACTGGCCCCTCTCCCACCGGGAGAGACTGGGTAACAACTGAGGGCCTCAAATTTACTATGTAGCTCTGCTGCGCTTGCCTCAACTCTGAGATCCACACAGAGGTGTGCTCAGCACCGGTGGGGTAGTGACCTAGCAGAGCCAGGAGGCAAGCACAGGGCGAGGTCTGAACAGTGGGCACCACCCTGGAGAAGCCCCCAGAAGCCTTACATTGCTGATATACTCGAGAGGGGTGAGGCTGAAGGCAGGCAGCTCTTCGGTCAGGGTCTCTCCAATGCCGGCTGTGTTCCAGCTCTAGGAAGGAAGGAGAAGCTGTCAGTGCTTCAGCCGCTTGGCAGCCCTGGAAGGTGTGGTAAGGAAGGACACGACTGTGGCCTTCGCCATGGGCACAGTCTGTAGTCAGAGTGGACCTCTGGACCAACAGCACGCGGCAGGCCGGGGACTTCTCTCCAGGGCCTCTTGATGCCCTCCTTAGAGAAAGCAGCCCATGTGTGCACGTGCAGCTGAATTCCTGAAGACAGGAAAAGCACTGCCTGCTGAGCCCGGCCACTTACTGGGTGGGCACCAGTCCCCTCATTCTTCTCTCTGAGAATGCAAAAAGAGGGTCAGACATTCCCTGTCTGGGTTTCTCCACATGGTGAGGCTCACCAGTCACCACAGAAAAAGCTCCTGGATGCAGGAGGTTCTAACCTTGGCCTTCAATACTTTGAAGAGGATAGAACACCTTTAACTCCTCAAAGTCAACGTGGAAACCCCTTTCTGTGGAGGGGAGGCTCAGGCAGCCCCTCTGTGGCAGCAACAACCCAATCTCAGTCACCAAAATTACTCTGCCTCCAGGTAAAGCTGCTGTTTTTATTTCTATCCTGCTCTACTCGGAACTCAGAGTAACGAGGAGGAGAAGCAGACTCCCACAGCTGCCCATCTGCTCTGTGCCCTCCATCACAAGAGGGCCTCGGCTCCAGCACACAGCTCTTGCCACATAAAGTGGAAACGCCTCTGATTTGCTGGGTGAGCTTCCCGGGATCCTGTAAGTAGGAAAGTCCCCAGGACGTACGTGCTTATGCCTTCAGCACGGCATAGCCCCACTTGGTTCCAACCTCAGCCGCCCTAACATCCTTTCTGGCTGGCCTCCCGAGTGACCCCAGAGGTCACGCTGAAGCTGCTCTCGGCAGCCACCTGACGCCCGATCCGGTTGCTTGAGCCTCTAAGTAGCATTCCGGGAATGGAACGACCGCAGCCGCCCCGGGCCACCTGCCCGGGCTGAGCTCCGTCTCTCCCACATGCCAACTTGACTCCTCCTCACTTTCTTGCTGGATCTGAGACCCTTTCATCCCCACGGCCTGCCCCTGCCCCTTCAGTTTGCTAGACTCCTTGTTCTTGCTGGAGGTTCCTCTTTTGCTTCATCTTGTAATTCTTTGTACTCAACTCCCAATTCACTGAGAAGTAAACTCCAACTACCTACGCTTACCCAGTACCTAAGAGGAATAGTCTCATGCGGGGCTTTGTAGAGAAGAGTTGAAAAATGTAAGACTCGCCCTCACTCCCAGGAGCTCCTGGGGAGCAAGGCTTGGGTGCCTCGACTGCGCTCATCTCCAGGCCTGCTGGCGCGTCCCTCTCCTCTCCTTCTCCCCATGTGCACCCGTGCAGGTTTCGCTGACAGATCTCAGCACCAGATGCAAGGTTTTGCACACTTCGGGGGAGCAAGAGCTCAGGGTGACCTAAGAAGGATCTGGCACAGGAGGCGGGAGGTACATAAAGGTAAAAACAGGAGGAAGGCAGTCTTGAACATCCAGCGAGGGAAATGTCGCAAATATGTAAGTATGGTATGTTACCACTGATAAATAAATGTGCAAGGGAAGAGAGACTGAGGTAGAGAAAGACACAGAGAGAGGAGAGCTGAAGAGAAACCTTTAGCTCAAAGACACACAAGACACAGCGGTCGATATCACTGTGTGACACCCAGGACCCTGATTCAAACATCCAAGCTGGGATACTGATAAGACACTGGAGAGCTGAGCCTTGCAGATGATACAGGAGGGCATCTCTCTCTCTCTCTCTCTCTCTCTCTCTCTCTCTCTCTCTCTCTCTCTCACGCAGGGGTGGTTATGGGACTGTGAGTGTTCTCAGAGCCCTTATACCTTGAGGGAGGGGGAGGGGAAGGGAGATGGGGGAGGAGCAAGAGGAGAAAGAGGAGGAGAGGGAGGAGGAGGAAGAGGAGGAGGACTCATGAAACAGGCTGGCCAGGCACTGACTGCTGGTGTGGCAGAGTGATGTAAGAACATGGACTCCCTTATACCCTGGTATGTGCACAAATTCCCATGGTAAAAGTTGGAAAAGAAACCACGAGGCTGGCCTGGTGGGGGCTCTGCAAGGGAGACAGGAAGCTCAGCAGCAGCTCAGTGATGCTGAGAGCCGGAACCGGGCACCAGCTATAGCAACATGGGAGACACACAGAAGAGGAGCCACAGGAACAACTCGGGCTCAGAGATGGTGCAGCCAGGAAGGCGGAGACGGCGACGGGCAGGGAGCTGGAGCAGGGCAAGCATAATGGCTCCCGGGAGACCAGCAGGGAGCCCACGGGAGCAGGGGTGGGTGTGGGGCAGAGGCCTGAGTCACTGGCACCCTGCCCACAGCAAGCGCTGGGCTGGAGACGTGGGAAAGGCTTGGAGAGGAGGCAGGAGGGGTGTGTCAGAGCGCGCTTGGGCCCGCGAGCCTGGGGGAGCAGTTGGAAAGAAGTTAAGAGGGGGCACACAGGGCCCTGGAATAAGAAGAGGCTTGAAAAGCGCACTTGAAGAGGACAATGGCAAAGTGATGTGGCTCATTTTTAACTGTTCAGGGTTATGGCAAATATCTCTCAAATGAGCTTTTCTAGCCATCTGTCACCAGGTAATATAGGCAAATGTTAATAACTTATTCTCAAATTGAATGTAGTGTTGGCTTATGGTCTTACAACATAAAAGGACAATACAGTTTACCAGCAAATGTTGAAAACCAGCACCTACTGACCAGGGTTTAATTTCCAAATCCTCAGGACCCGAGTGTTTGCCTGTGTATTGTGTGGCATGGGCTGGCTCCCAGGAGACTCGCTCTAATCTTCCAAGCTGGCCACACGTGTTCCCGGCAGCCGGCAGGGGTGTGGGAAAGCCTGAGGAAGAAAGCCAGATCCCAGCCACCCAGGCTGGACTGCGACCGTGGACTCTGGAGTGCAGGAGCAGAGGCAGAAGGCCAGGGAGAAAGTGCTAAGCCTGTGTAAATGCAGCATCAGGCCAGATAACTGGGAGCCTTAGGGTTTCGGAACTGGAGGTCAGCTTGTTAAATTTTAACACAACAAAAACAGGAAGAGCCAATGAACCTGGAGGTAGGGGAGGAGAGACGGCAGACAGAGAGTGCGAATCTCCTCGTCTCCCAAAACAAGTGAGGTAATACTGTATTTATCTAGAATGGACATGTGATTAACAAACACCACTGATTCTGTAATTTTTCCCTTCATATTAAGAGATCTTCTGGGGGGAACTACCCGCTTGCCCCCCC